ACCTCTTAACATTTGGTTAAGCTATATGTTCACCTCAGCGAACCTCTGAAATGTGAGTTTACCAGCAGGCTATTGGTTTTCGGTACTGCTGTTATGCACAACAAGCTCCCGTCAAGTCTTCGAATCTATGGCTGTAGTCGCACAGTCCTCTTACTTCTACCGGTCTAGAAGATCCTGTAAACTGTCCATAGTTTTATGATACTATCGCACCTATGCACAAGACATTTTTATATACATACAAATAGATTATTCATTACTGACCTATGTGACAAACTGCTCCGCTTTGAAACTCCTAGTCGTCTGTGGATATTTAAGCAGACAACAATGACGACATCCGTGGTATCTGAGTATCTGCATTGCATATATGCATACTGCATCATTTTTCTGGTATGAATAGTACCTTTGGTAAAATGAAAACAAATAATAGATGCACACCGTGTTGTTAGGTGTTTCTGCGGGTCGTTCATGAGCGCATCTGGATACTTTTCACAGCTACATCTCACAGTTCCGTTATTCCATTACCAATATCGCAGATAGTAATGTTTAGCGCTTCATTAACGGGAGGACCATAAGTCATGCTTCGGGTCTTCCTTGCGTAGAGCCGAAAACGAGTCAAATAATTACTCACAGAACGGGTGACATGAATGGAAATAACTTTCCTGCTGATGGCTGTAAGCACTAACAAACAATTACGATTCAAAGGTCTGTCAGTGATCTGTCTAATGGGGAGACGTTCTGGCTGTAACCCAGCAGCAGAGGCTGAGGGTAAGTGATTATCGGTACTGGTTCCTAAAAACGGCGAAATTTCCTCTACACTTCATACATATCGCTTATGTTCTGAATAACTGTTTCATTCTACAGAAGTAAATATATCTGGTTTCGAAAGGACTTAAATAAACACTTAATAATAGTAAATAGACGGTTAGAAAACTAGAAAAACATATTTATTCAGTTAAACTTTTTGTACCCACAAGATGTTTATTCTTCAGATAGGTATAAATAAATTATGTACCGAGCGGATCTTTTAGTTACAGATAACAATATTATCTGCAAAAAAGGCATCTCCTGAAGCAACATGTTGTAAAGTGAACAATTTACAACAGACAACTTGTTTAAACACTGAGCTGTGTGCCAGATGGATATATGCGTCAGCTACCAAGAACAGACATGAAGAACAGTCTGCCATATAAAGCATGCTATTAACAGCCTACATTTCGGTGAATGCAAGGAAGTGATGACTTTAGACAGTGAACAACACTCATTAAAATGTGCAGTCTGTGTACACGATAGATTAGGATTGAAAGATCTTTCACCTTAATGGTATATTATCCTCAGGTTTACTTTCTACAGTTTAATCTCTTATTTCTTATTTTACTTTTTGTTTATTTTTTCATCTCCTCCTTTTTTGATCCTTTCTATCACGCATGCGTCATTTATTTTCTTTTACTTATTTTTTGCTTATGTTATATTCCTTCACTACACCGCCTTTATTATTTATTTTATAGTCTTTGTTATCCGTGATTACAGTACCTCTTTTCTACTTTATTAGTTTGTGTTGAAGGAACACCGCTGTGGGTATCAAAAGCTTCATTTAATAAATATATTTTTATGGCA